AAATGTGTACATTTGCTTTAAATCTTCTTGCTTAGCTTGCTTATTTACAGCTTTGACAAAAAGGATTTGCTTGCTAGTAGAAAAGGCTCAAATCATACACTGCAATAAATCATGAAACAATGTCCTCTGAGGGCTTATTTTTACACGTAGAATTACCCATTAAGTTAACATTAAGAAAGAAAAAAGAGCAAAACAAATGAGCATAGACATTAATGCAAGTTTAGATTAATTCCCACTTTTACATCTGCACCAAAAGGACTTCTTCTATGGTAATTCTTTTTTTTTTTTTAATAAGATACTGAAAATGATGAAGATTTCTTTATGATCTTTAACATAAATAAGTGTAGCGATTTTTTTTCCTACGTCTTTATTGCTGCCTTATCTGATCAACAGGGTGTGGTGCAACCAACATCCTCACCAACTGCAACCACCTCCAACCCATGAAAACACATCTTTGAACTGTGTTTCTGATAATAACAAGCCCACGAGACGACATCATCTGTACAGACAGAATACTATCCACAATGTGAAAAAGAAGTGTTGCTAGGCAAATTAGTTACTTGCTTTTACTTATTAGAACTTTAGTGCAACTTATGAACACACATTCACATATGATTCCTACCAACATAAGCACTCCTGAGGCAAACATTTTGTGGAGCTGCAGTACAACAGTTTGAGTTGTCAGCTGTTCATCATTTGACAATATACATATAGATTTAAAGTAATTTTCCAGTAGAATAAGAGCAGAATATGCCATCCAGCAAACGATGTGCTAGAAATCTGTGCCACCTACCCAAAAAATTGTATTTGGTTCACTGAAACCTCACTCATACCTTTAAGAATGGATAGAAAATGGAGAAAGAAAAGATGATGATTGAACTCGTCTGTGCCCAACAATGAGGAGGACAAGAATATTATTAAGGTTGGTTAGATTTCTTCTCTCACTTGGAATTAAGCAAAACATAATCTTTTTCCAAGAACATAGTAACACGGCTTTAATTATTGGGCTAAACAATTTCTGTCTCTTTATAAGACTCTCTTTGAATCATGCACATAATCATAACAAAAACATATGTTAACATGTTAAGGAATTTCTGAGGTAAGTAAGGATATTTCATCTCAGCATAAGCTGCATTGCTAACATGAAAAAGATAAGCAATTTTACTGTTAGTAAAATGGCAGCGAGTCCGAGCGGGATCTGAACCCAGAACAGCCACCACGTTACCACTCTTGCCAACTTCAGGCAAAAGCTGGCTGGAAGCCCTCATTCTTCCCAGCATTTTTAGATAGAGGGACGAGTAATCATGTGCATGTGTGTATGAAAAGCTTTCCAAGATGATGGGCTAGCCACAATGCCAGAATCAAGGTCATTAAAGACGCTGCATATGGAAAGGGTCACTTTGCTAGGAACAGACCAATTACCAGTGAGCACATATAATGACTATTCATGATGTCAAAGCAGCTTGCCACACTGCTTTCATCTGCCAGCACACAAATGCCTATACAAGAATGCTGCAGCTGTCAAGGGAATATATGACTCAATGTATGTATCTTGGAATGGATTCTGTAGGGAGCCTGGCCTCTGTTCTGAGGTATTGGAGAGGATAATTCCCCAAAACGACAATTTTGAGACCACAAAAATTCAAACCATAGCCTTGATATTACAAGAATCCTAGTTGATTTCAGCTGTTACAACAGAAATAACCAGTTATTATACACAAATGTCTCACTGACCAACTTTTAGAATTTTTTTCCTTCTTTTTCCCTAAGTGCTGTTTATCCCATAAGCCTTTAAAGGAAAACACAAGCAAGGCTATTAAACAAAGACATATGTCTAGAGTTCTCTGCCTTTATCCTATACTTTCACATACCTACTAAAATTCTAAAACCAGTAAAGAAAATAATAATTCTCCTCCCCCATTCCTAATTCTCAATACAAAGAAGTTGCAATGGCTGATCAGTGGAAGTCTCCCTTGTGAAAAATCTCAAGAAAAATGCCCAAGAAATTGTTCTTGACCTAAAGTTTTGCTGCTTAGTTGACTTAGGCAATTGAACGGTGGCTTCAAGTACAAGGGTCTAACACATGAAAACTTCTTTCAAGTGTATTCCTTGGACTCCATCCTTGGGGCAGTAACCAAGTTCTGTTTAGTTTCCAAAGCACACTGGATCCAAGGAGTGCAGCCCAAAACTGCAGAACAGCAAATAATCAACCAAAGAAAGTAACCAGATCACTAACAAATACTCTTCAGGTTCTCATTTTAAATTGTCCATATTTCCAGTTTCTTGTGTCCACTTCTGACCAATGTAACCAATCGAAATAATCTTTGAAAAAAAAAAGTCTGCATTAAAGACTTTTACAGTCTTGAGTACTGGCAGTTAATTTACTCTACTCCTAGGGCAACTGATCATAACAATTGACTATTAAGAATTTACATTACTTTAAAATAATGTTTCTTGCCCCAGGTAAGTAGAATTTTGCAGAATAAATATTAACTTGGATTTAAATTGAAGTTGAAGAATGAGATTTACAAGTATCTGCACTCAAACCATCTGTGAATACAGAGAAGTGATTAAAGAAAATCTTGTTAAATTCAGCCAGATCAAAGCCTTAGGTCAACATAGACATCTTTTAACCATCTCATAAGTCTCTTGCAGACAGCTCTGTACCATAAAAGTATTATCAGTTCCATAACACAAACCAATTTGTTTTCTATAGAGAACAGCCATTATTCTCTGCACTTTCAGACACACTTCAGTGTGGATGCAGTTAGTTGCTAAACCCACTAGCAAGTGGGTTTCAATCACTTCAATATTACCTTTGTGAATTGACTGTAAAAGCACATTACTTGTTTAAATTGTCAATCCCGTGTTTAGTTTCTACTAATTTTTTTTCCAGAATAAACATTTTTAAAAAAAAAAAGTAACAGAATTGCAAACAGTGACTACCTGAACCAATGTCAAGTTCAGAGAAGACAAAGAACTCATCTATTTAGTAAAGAACTTACAAGTTTTCCCCCAATAAAAGAAGATTTTATGTTTTTCCTCAATTAAGGACTGACCAAATCCTACATTGAGTCCATACTAAGGCTAACATGTTGCTCACGTAACACATAGCAAGTCACAAAGATATGCAGCAAGTGTTTAATCTGCAGTGGAAAACCTAGTGGTTAACCATGCAAACAAATTATTTAACATTTTGCTCAGGAATCATTGCATTTCCAACTCCAGAGTGGTTAACGTCTGCGTGTCATTTCCGTAACACATACTTATGGTCAGGACATCCAGAGTCTGTATGCCCTAAAGCAAAAGTGTGGAAATTAATGTTTTAAGGCACTTGACTCAACCAGACTATTAAATTTTCCTTCCCCTGTATATGATCTAACTGACGTAATTTAGACAACCAGAGCTGGAAAACTCATGCTCAGCTAAACAGATCATGAGTCTACAGAATGCTTAAATTCAGAAAAAGACTGAGGGTAACAACATGCAAATTGACAAAATTGTTGAAGAAATGCAACTTCAGGAAAAATAAATATAACATGGAATGTCTGTAAAGAGTTATCATGCATAGGAACAAAAATTAAAAGCAATTTTCCCTCTGTTTGCGTGGCCAGGAGTAGTATTTCCAGTGTCTTACTTAGAAGACCACTGAATAACTCATAGTCTTTCCCATCGGGAAGATATATAGAGAAAGAAAGAGTTGTGCAAGACAGGAAAGATCACAGAGACATATGGAAAAGCAGAAAAAAGCCGATAGGAATAATAATAGAATGTGAAAAATACAACCTGTTTGCAGCAAATTAAGATGCCATATCTAGGCACGAATGACATGCACTACCTTAAGTATTCTTGAGAAAAAAACCTTCTCAATGGAAGGATGAAATACCTTGTGAAATAATCCATTTTTGGATGTAAGAGTCATTGATGCTTTGAAGTATCAGGTCAGTGCAGCATTTCTTTAAAAACTGAATGTTGTAATGCCTTACACAGCAGAAAACACTTTTGGCACCTTCCCTTATGCTTAATACAAAAAGCAAGAACAAAAGATATACCAAAGATAATTCACTTCTGCGTTTCCAGAGGCAGAGCAAAAGTAAACAAAGGGTTGAAGTGTAAGAGGAGAAGTTGGTTTATGGCTCTGATAAAGCTGGCAGTGACACACAGCCTGTAATTGTCTTTGTGCAACTCTCCTGCTGCAATCACTACTTCAGTAACTCTGGGTTAGTGTTAGACTACTTACTCCAAGAAGTCTTCTCCCCAACTGTGGAGCTTCTCTGAAGCTGTAAACAGGGTGGTTCACATGGCCAAAAATTGCATGACAGGATCTTCTCTCATGACACCATTTCTAATAATTCTGCATACTTCAGGAACAAAATCCTCCTTGTAAATCTACAGTCTACTCTTCCTATTGCTATGAACATAAATTGAAGGTTGCAATGCACCAAAAAAAGAGTTATCAGAACTTGAGCAAATAGCTCCCTTCTTTGAAATTTTTTCCAAAAGTTAGTAGGAAAGAATCTGCAGTTCAGTATTTGCTCCTCATCTAGCCATTTTCTTTTGTTGAACATTTTCTAAAACACAAATGGAACTACAAAATACCACAATAAACTGGAAAATGGCATCATACAATCAAAAAAAAAATCTAAAAGAAGTAAAACTTGGCATGATTTATACTTAACACAGAAGAGGTTACTACAAAGGTGTTCTGTAGTGTTCAAAAGTGTTCTATAGTGGCATATAGATTTCAATGCAATCAGTAGGTTTCCTCAAGAAAGTATGCACACCATTATTGATGTCATGGACAGAATTTGACAATGTATTATATTTACAAGGAACACTGCAATTTCCAAAGAGACTCTCATAACTTACACACACAAATTCCACTGAAATATGAGCACCCAGTTCAAATTCAGCTTTGAACATCTCTCACTATGACTTCCCCAAATCCCAAAGTGCACAATAGTTCCTTCTGTTGAGATAAGTGATGTAACAAGAAAAACCTTTCTCATAGAGCTCTTCCATCGCTCTCCAGGTTTCAGCTCGGACCTCTCGATTGCTTTTACCCAGAACATGTGCATCAGGCCAGTGCATTAAATACAGATCTAAAAAAGAAACAGAACCAGACTGGTCAGTAAAGTGTGCAAAAAATAAATATATCAAATCATGTGAAAAAGCATTTTCCCTCCATAATGGCCCCAACACATTATCACTGTAATAGTAACAAATACTACTCCATGGTCATTACTGCACACATCCATTTAGTTTTAATAAACGAATTCTATAACATCTCATTAACAACCAAGGGCAGCAGAAATTCACATAAATTAAAGTGAGAAATGTACATGTATTGGACTCAGTGTTTCAAATGAGATTATCTAAACTGCAAAAATGACAGGACCTAAACTCCTTTATAAGTTTGTAGACACTGCTAGACATTCTGAAGGAGAAATTTAAGAGATATTTGGAAAACAATTACATTTCTATTTAAATTCCAACTCCAGATTAAACAGCAGGCATCCCAGTCAAACAGGTTTTGGCCTTTGCTGCATACATTAGTCTGATGAAAAACAGCAAAAGAAAATAAAGAGATGACTGAGATGTACACCATTTTCTTTGTTCTTTATAATATTCCTTTTATGGCAGTTCAAATACAGAGTTAAGAAATAAAAAAACCTCCAACTTGTTTCAGTGAGAAGAGGGTTTTGTTCTTTGAATACATCACACTATTCATTTACAGCACCTCTTTGAGAAAATACAAATCCTCTGCTTTGTGAATAACGAAAAAAGGGGGGGGAAAAAAGAAAAATAATTCTTTTTATTCCCTTTTAAGGACTGCACTAATGATTACTATACCAGTGGGCTGGTATATTAGTTTTCCACCTGTAAAAATACAAACTCAACCTCAATTTAAGAGGAAAAGGTAACTTGAAATTCTCTATAATACACCAGTTCCAATTTTGGCACATCACTGCAACACTGTTAAAAAGAGTAGTTTACTTTGATTAAAAATTTTAGAACAGTACAGAGTTTTGTACAGTAAGATACATTACAATTGTATGAAGAAAAAAATTATTTTGGATGTATTGCAAAAATCACAAGCTAAATTTGCACTTTCCAATATTAATAACACATTAGACTTTTATATACAATTGCTCAGGAAAGCAAATATCACTCATATGTAATGATCTGGAGCATCTGGATTTGCATCACATTTAAAGAAAAAGTTGCCTATTCTTTGCCCTTATATACATAAAATCCACTTCCAATTCCATATGCAGTCTTGTTCATCACCAATGCACGAATAATTACTTCTTCTCTAATTGCTCTGAGAAAACAACTTGTATTTATTAAAAATAAATACCAATACATGCTATTGGAATAAATACCAATTTCTGTGACATTTAACTGAAAACTAATACTGGGAACTAATAAAGCATTTGGTGAGGTTCTGATCAAAAGTCAGGGCTACTTAAATTCTGTTGCCAATGAAATTTCCACTGATCTATATTAGACGTAAACCCAAGGATTAGCACTAGGAACTGCTAATATCAAGTGTTTGGTTTGATCCAAAATTATATGCCATTGGTGGTACTTACTGCACAGAGACTGCCATGTTTGAATTTAAACTTTTTTGCTTGGATAACGCAAATGTCACATGTAAGTAGGTGTAAGTTAGTGGTATCTGATGCCTACCTCACATAAAAATGGAATTATGTATCTTTAATTGCTGCTTGCTATGTTCTCCAAACCAGACTAGTAAGAACTGCTTAAGTATGCAGAAACACATCATTTAGCAAAAATAATCAAACTTCAGCAGAATTTCACCAAAAGCTACTTCTCCAAAAGCCTGATTATTCAGCTGGACACGACAGTTTGCAAATGCTCACAGAAATAGCTACATCATGGATTTCCATATACAGAGATGCATTGTACTCAGTCCAAGAAACTCAAGCACTCTCAGAAGAAAGACTTAACAGATTTGATAACTGAAAGATCTCTGGCCTTGGACATTTAAAAAAAAAATGCAACACATCAGCCCTCCCTGTACTAGTGTCTTAGGCCTCTTCAGTGCAAACATGATTAGCTGTTAACACTTTATTTTAGAAAGGTGATGTTACCAGGTATGTGATGTCTATATCATCCTACTATGTTTATTTTAATTTAGGGGTTTTGTTGAAATAAAAATTACTTCACATTTAGAAATATATGCATTTAGGGTTAGAAAGCCTCTACTGGATCACAAAGCACAGTTCTTCTGGACTGCAAGAAGTTTTCCCCAAAGATGTGGGGCAAAGGTCCCTTATCTCACAGATAATGAGCAGAACAGTCTTTGTGCCAGTCATGGCACAGCCAGGATCTGCTTTCTTCTACTGCATCTGTTAGAAAACTTTGCATGATACCTGCAGGCCAACAAAAACAGTAAGCCCTGCACAAACCCAGGTCTATGATTTCATCTTTATTTGTACACACATTCACACCCTACACCCACACACACTTTCTTTTGCTTAAAATATTTCCCCTCCTGGGGGATTATGAGAACACAAACACTCTTTAATTCATTTTGGAGGCAAGAAATTAGTTTTAAATCATTTATCAAAATAGCTCAAGGTTCTAGTAATCAAGAAATGTGTAATTTTATCACTGAAGGTTTTTAAGAACAGACTACATTTTATTGTATTGAGAATGATGGGGTTGTGCTTTGTACACGGGAAAGATTAAATTAACACCTTGAGATGTCCTCCAACCATATACTTTTCAAAAATAATCTTAAATTGAAAAATCCACCATGATTCACAGTAAAGGATGCACTTGAGAAAGAAGAAAAAAACATCCAAACATTCAGTTTTTTTACTTAACACCTTTTTAAAACATCCTTTGAAGAAAATCAAGCTGCAATGGTGCAGTGGTAAGCGAAGGCCTGAAGTTTATTTAAATGTCAAGGCACAGTACTGCTTTCACACATACATTTAAAATAGAATGGCTTATTACTTAGCGGTTGCAGCACCTACAAGCAACAATCAAATGGCCCTGGAAAGTAGGTTTAAAAGCCAACAGCATGTTGGCAATTCTATTGAAAGTTTGCAATTCTATTGAAATTCTTAATACAATATAAAAAAAAGGTCCACATTGACTAAAACAAATGTAGTTTTGAAGAACAAGCCCTGTCTTATATCACATCTAAAAGCAAAAGAATATTTTTCAATGTTTCCCAGCTATCTTAAAGCAATTATTTTCCCTCCTTTTCTCAATAGTCACTGTACTTAGTATTGACATGATGTGTTTTTCTCTCCCACTCAATCTTTTGTATTTTTTTTGTTTTGTTCTATTGAACAAGGATCAATGTGAAAAAAAAAACAACCCTAAGTGTTTTGAAGCAATACAGAACCTGAATTATGATAATACACCCATTCCATGTGATTCATCTATTACACTGAATATGCTGAGAGTGCATTTGTCCAGCTCCAGTTGGGGATTTGTGATAGGTCAGATTTGCCTGAATGGGACAAACTCGAATAGTCAAAAGGAAAATAAAATTGTTTATGAAATCCGTAAGCCACAAATCACATTCAAGAAGTTATTTTGGAGGTTAGATTCAAACACCAAGGAATGTATTCTGTTACTGCCAAACCTGTAAGATTTGCTGCCATTTCATACTGGTTTACTGTGTCTGCTAGTTGAAGACCACATTTAGAAAATGCAAGGAGCAGAATATCTATTACAACCACTGCCCACAAATAATACAAAGTTCCAGCACATCATGGATATATAATCTACCAGTTCAAATAAAAATCCTGGAACACTGCTCTCCTAGTACCATTTGCCTCAAAAGTGTTTGTTGAAAAGGCTTCATAACACATATTTTACACGGAGCACTTTTTCTCTTAAAAAGCTGTGACTGCTTTCAACAATTCATCTGTTTCAACAGCTGGTAGCCTATATACTGATTTATTAACTCCTGTGAGATTACTTCCCAGGTCTCTAATTCAGTCTGTATAGATGGACTGTGTAATCCATAAGGATCCTCAAGAAAATTAACAGGAACAGGAACAAAAAGCCGAGCTGAACATTTAGCTGCCAGGACTCCTGCAGCTTCTTCTCTCTGTAGTCTTCTGAATTACTAACTTTTCCTACAACATAAAGGTCTAACATCAAAGATTTTTATTTAGGATATTTCGGTTTTCTTTGAGAACTATGTATCTTTACAGAGATGCTGTGAACTAACCATATATGGTTAATATCATAGAATGAAATCAGGAAATTCTGATTTATTCTGATCATTATTTCACACTCCTGTTTTACAGAAAAACTGCCAGCATTAACACATGCTTGCAACTAAAGAATTTACTTTCCTAAATAAGCTTGGACACAAATTGCCCTGTTATTACCAGATCTCTTTTTGCCATGGATTTTAGGTCCTCTCTATGGTACAGACTGGTCAGCAGAAAAGGGACACAAAAGGCAGGTATGAATGAAAACAGATATCTTGACCTTATTTCTACAAGCTTATAGCCTTATATTCAAACCAATCTTCTGGATTCTAATTACTTTTGCTGGACTTGTGATAAGCCTCAATTTCCAACAGAAAGCTCTTACTCTAAGCATTCCTGAAAAAACTTGAAAGGTTCATATTTCAAGGTACTGCCTCATTTTGCTTGAAAATCCTTCCAGTAGCACCTTCCAGCTGAGTGCTTTCAGACAGGAGGTACAGGGCTCCCTAAGGATGCTCTCCATGAACCCGTGAAACACTCCAGGTATTGTACCTCCTCTGAGGGTCTAGTTCCCAGCATAAACAGCACCAAAGATGGAACTCACCTTTATCTCTCTCAGAGCAGTGCAGATCACACTGTGCTTAATAGAAACTGTGGAGTTGGTACAAGAGAGATTAAACCCCAGTAGCCAAAACTGTTGCTCCACTTGCCATCCCATCCTTCTCATGGTGGTCACCGTCCTCATATACAGATCAGTGACTTGCATGTCAAGTATTTCCAAAGCCATCACACTTCACAAACTGTCAAGTTAAAGCAAGCTGAAGCCTGCATTGATTTAGGTCACTATGGCAGACTAAGTGATTTGGGAAGAGCTTTAGAAATCTTTCAGACTTCTCCATATCAGTGGAAGCAAGGTGGGAAGATGAGTGAGGTTATTAAAAAAACAAAACAAAAATAAAAAAAATTATTAAAAAACCCAAAACAAAAATAAAAAAAAAGGATCAAATCTAGTATGGAGACAAATTGGACAGGCAGCTGTAATACTCCCTTAGTTTGCCTTAGTAATATGAGCAAAAGAAGTCTGAGGTCTGAACACATCTCACAAACTGAAGTTCTCTTTATGCCAATCCAAGGACTCAACTCACATGGTGACAGCATTAGTGCATTTCTTGCTCTCAGATATTCCTTTCCTTCTTTCAGGTATTTCTGCTCAGCAGCAGTATGTAAACTCAGTATTTGTGTGAGCACCTACTTCAATCAGCCTACTACCTGAGAAAATAAAAACAGCTTACAGTACTGGAAGGAATCACTGAAAAAGACTTCTTGGAAGTGAGTCAAGTTTTCCTCTCATCGACATTCAGCACCAGTACCAGAGCAAGCAGAAGAAAAAAGAAAGCAAACACAAAATAACAAGCAGAAAGCAGAGAGGAGGAGTAATGTTACTTCTCAAGTTAAAGGAGATAGTCAAAGCTTGAAACTTGGTTTATGAAAGTCTCATTACAGTGACCTGCATTTGCACGGGACAGACAAAAAGAAATCTTAATTAATTTTGCATTATTCTGTACCTGTGGAGGAAGTGAAGGGATACATTTCCAGAAAGAATGAAGCCAAAGATGTGCTGCAGGTATCGGTCTTTAACAGATATAAGAACTTTTCTCTGTTCACCTTGCAAAGTACCCAAGCAAAAAAAGCCAGTAAACATACCACACAGCTGCCACTAATACTATATGTTACTAATTCAGCGAAATTCATACTTCACAAAAGCTGTTCACTTCCTCATCAAAGTTTGTTTATTCCTAAAATGGGGACAGGGTGAGGAAAGAAACAAAATGAAGGTCTTCAGGACACTGACAGGTAATGTTTGATGGTTAGGTCTATTGCTTCTTGAATATCAGCATAAAGATTATCTCCACCAGTGTTATTATTTTAGATTATTACTTTAAATTCACCTTCCTCTACATCCACTTTCTTCTCATTGCTTCAGCTAGGGAAGAAGAAGCAAATATCATGTTTATTTTTGTCAGGTATCTCCTCTCTTATGGCCTGTTGCAAAGAATTAATTGGCATCACTATGGCAGCTCTTTGCCTATCTAACAAGGGAGTACCAATATCACATTTTTTACTAAAAGAAGTTTATGATAAGGTTAAATTTGAAAGTGCATCAGTGTTAGATTTAGTTTCAGTTTTCTAAAGTCTTGTAAATACTTCTAATATTTTCCCCAAAGTATATTGCGTCAGATAGACCAAACCAAAGGCAGTATTCTGAATTTCAAAATTAATAGACCTACAAAGGAAGTTTTAGAAAGGACTCCCACTCCTCAAGAAGAAGAAAACAGACCACAGAAGAAAACAGGCATTTTTGTCACCCTGTTGCCAATATATTATTGTAAAGTTTATGAATCCTTGTTACGTAGCTTTTGGGTGTTTTTAGCAAAATATATAAAACTCCTGTAGTTGTTCCTCAAGGAATTTAACAATGAGATATACCTTTACAAAATATACCTTGATCTGTTTCAAAACATTTGCAACAAGAAAAAACTCTGTGCTCTCAATTGTATGCATGTGAGCTTTGTAGAGAACAAACAGAACAAGAAACCTGCAAATGTGTAAATAAAGGCAGAACTTGGTTTCTGTGATCTATTTTTTCAGGAATTCATTCATCTTTGTGAGTACTCACATGGAAGGCACAATAAATGAGCTATATGTAAACATTCATACCAAGATATTCAATGCCAAGTCTTTCACATGACTCCAAGCAGGCCTTTTTTGTGTTTTCATAGCCGTAATCACTGTGCCAGAGTTTGGTAGTTATCCAGAGATCCTCTCGCTTCACGTCACTCTCTTTGATGGCCTTTTGGAGGAGAGATTCACAGCCGTATCTTTTTGCTGTGTCAATGTGACGAATGCCACATTTTTGTAATGCGTGGACCACTGCATTGTGGGAATAGCCACCGTGGTGGGAAGTACCTAAACAAACAAAAGCAGAAGTGAGTTGTCAGCAGTGAGTTATGAGGGACATATTTTATCATTCTTCTTAATTTTTGCTTTTTTTTTTTTTTTTAATATATGGTCACAGATGCTTCTTATTCACTTTTCGTTTCCCAACAGTAAAAAAAAAAAAAAAAAAAAGTGAACTGACAGATCTCTAAGCTGGGAAAATACATGAAGTGGGAGAATGTTGATGTCGATCAGAAAAAACTCCATCAAAATCAACAGCATTTAACTGTAAAGAAGTGATTTAAGGAGTCAGGTTGAAAATCATCCAGAGAAAACACATATTGTGGAAAATCAGTATATGTCACTTAATGTTCACACAGAAGCGTAACATTTACAGATGAAAATATTAAAAAGACCCAAACAACTTTAAAAACAATTTACTTTATGGAAAGCATATCCTGAGACCTTTACTCTGTTGAACTCCTGGTAGCTTCAAGTTATTATTGCATTGTACAATCCCAGACCAGGCCATACTGCAGGTGCGATTCACATAATGTCAAGCTCAGCAGTAATCAAAACAATGGAATGCGACACAAGAGTTACAGAATGCAGGGAGTTTCAGTAACAAAGTGCTGTTACTGTCATTGTGTAGGTATTCACTGGACGTGTATTTTGCATGTCAAGGGGACGGAAGGAGGAGGAGACTCAGCAGGAAAAGCAAACCAGCAGGAGGACTGGCAGATAAAGAACTGGTTGAGAGCAAGGAGATGATGTTTCTCCTTACACTTTCCTGTTAGTTGTTTTTCCTGCCGTGAGCCCCTCACCCATTCACCCTCACTCACATACTTCCCACAAACAGTATTTTCTACAGTTTGTTGGAGGAAATGCTCAGTCAGTTCCAGTCAGCTACCACAGTCACCTCCTTCCAAGTTGATTATTGGTATTTAAAGGCCAGAGTGCCACAAACAGTAGTTGGCATGAAAATGGCTCCGTCACTGCCTTCAAAAGGGCCCTGAACAGTCGACTGCAACAGGGTCTGCTGAATCTAAATAAATAAAGGACTTCAGGTTTGTATCTGCTCTCAACTTTCTCTTTCCCTCCAATAGTATTTATTTCTACACTGAACACTATCTGCATGTTAGGCAATTAACACATGCAAATGGCCACCCAGCCTGGCAAGAAAAGGACACAAATGCAACCAGCTCAGGTTCTTTTTAGAGAGCCTCCCTCACCTGAACTGGGGAGAGAATGCTTGTGGGAGGCTGCAGACTTTTCTCACACAAGTTTAATAGTGCATGCAAGAATGACAACTTATGGAAGTCCCACTTGCATGTAAGGTAAGCCAGGTTCTCCTAAATGCTTATCATTTTTGCTCATTCCTAACCTTAGAAGGAAAACCAATGAGTCTTGCTGAACACTCCAAGTCATATAAACTGAGATGTAATACGGTCTGATATCACACCCTGAGGATCATGAAATTGTGCTGATCACAATGGGACAGTTTCCACTTTAAGACAGACAAAATGTGGAGTAGTGAATTCTTGACTTATCTTCGTGGATTTTAAAGTGATGAAATTCTGCATTCCTACAATTTTGACATGCATATCATAAATCATTTACCTTCCAAATGCAAACAAAGTTTCAATGTTTGAAAAGACAAAACTTTAAATCTATTTTTTTTGCATAGCCACTAATTATGATCACTAATTGGCTTAATTTCCAAGCTAACTAGAAATAGATGTCTCTGTAACTTGTTTTACATGAAAATAAGTAAAGCTAAGTGAACTTATATTTTCAAAATAGCTATTTCAAAATCTTCATGAAGATTTTTAGAATTTTAAGAAGTTTAAGAATTTTAGATGACTGCAATGCTACTACATTGCAATTATTGGCAAAGAATAGATAGGCAATTTTACATAATTCAAACCCTAAAGTAATTTTATTAAAGAATTATATAACTAGCATAGAAAAATTACTATACTTTTTTCAAAACAAACGGTTCACTTTTAATATGATGGTATTGGTGTAAAATAAATGAGGTTGTAACTATTGTGTCTGTTTCTGGCTGAATGGACATTTCTAAGCACAGAATGAATGGAGTTCATTTAGAGGTCTTGCAAATGGACTCAGACTCCTTTCATGCATAATGGATTTCAGTAAGAACATTTAGGACAAACAACTTTTTTTTTTTTTTTTGTTTAACTCTTTAAGTTAAAGGGAGAGAGTGGAAAAGAAAGAAAATTCAGAATAATTCTGTTATTGTACCCCATTCAGTGATGGCATGCACACTTGTTACACAGGAAATAAAGACAGCAAGATCAGTCCGGAGGGAATTATCTCAATTTCTGTGCCTAAAAATGAACTACAACAGTCCTGGGGCACTAAACAGTAATTAAAAGAAAGCTTAACAGTTATTTAATATTACCACTTTGCAAGCCAACTTAATCATAAATAACAGGTTGATAAGTTAGTTATGTTACTAAAATAATGGCTTCTAGACATTAGAAATTATAGTTTTCTTATGTTTACTCGTGATTAAGTATGTTACATTACACAGATGCAGAAGGATGACAAAAGAAGGTGAAGTGACTGAAATTTCTATTTTTTTCTAATATTAGAAGTCCAAACTTACTTGACATTAACATTCTCACATGGTTGGGATGATCTTTTGTTCACAGAGATCTAATTCACACTGCACATGTATATTTAAAGACAAAATCCAATCTTGCATTTAAAATGAATATGAACCAGCACCCATTCCATCCTCTTACTGTTTCCAAAAATATTTTATTAATAATTTTTTTTCCCCAGAATTCTCTGGTCAAAAACAGGAATTCCTTTAAGAAATAATGTCAAATATAAATAGGTCTGGAAAAGCTCCCTACTTCTTAGCTAGTATTTTAACTTGTTTTCCTCAGAAATAGCACTGTTCTCTCACTGACTGAACCAAGCTAAATTTGACAGATCCAAAGATGTCCAAGATAATTACATTCAGTGGATTTTGTGAAAATTGGTGGTTGTGAGGGACAAGGATACTGCAGTGAAAATATGGATAGGTCAAAGGACACAAATCCATTGAAAACTAGGCTTAATTAGTTACGTTGTTATTTTGCCACAGTTACTCATCACTTTCTTGGTATGCTGAAGAAGGCTGCTATCAAAACTGGGGTGAGAAACATGCTCTGACAAGCCATAAAAAGTTCCAAAGATTATTAGGAAGGCACAATCCTGTTCACAATGCAGTTGCTACAGGGAAAAAACCCCAGCACCCCAATCAGCAACACCTCCCCCAAATCCTCAAAAATACAAACCCAACAACACCTCCCCCCTTGAACCCACTAAAAATGTAAAACAACTGACAAACCAAAATGCTACCCCCCTGCCCCAGATTTCGGCACCATCTCAGCTGACTGTCAGCCTCATTAAACTTTCTGTTCTCCTTCGCGGAAGCTGCAGAACTACAGACAGAGATCCAAAGCACCAGCAGTTTTTCAAAAGAGAACCAGGACCTACTTTCCCTCCCTGCTTTCTCCCTTCCTTTGTGGAGAAGAGTGTCTTCATGTTCTTTGTGAAGTGTGAAACGATTATTTATCTGAAAATACAAAGATGTTCTGTGACATGAATAACTTTGGCTACTTGAATTCAGTGGAATAACATCAGAAAAGTTCCTGTTAGTGAAACCACAGCCAGAATATTTAGAAGTCGCATCAGAGATTAATGATCTTCTGACATCAGTACCCGGTACTAAATTAAAACAGTTGACAAACAAAACACCTGCAGAAATGGCCATTCCTTTCCTGATTTATCTCTAAGTATTCACTTAAGAAAATAACTCTCAAAAGCAAAAGCTCAAACATCCTTTTATCGATGTTTAGACACTCATTGTGGATATATGGTACCGTATACCACAACAGGCTTGAAATTCCTGGTGTTATTAGTTTTATTTTTACTATCTCAACAGTATATCGATGGCAACAAATATGAATATACTAAATTTTTTGCTGTTGATTAAGTTTCATTTCCTAATTACCTTATGAGCAAATTCAATGATAAAACATAAAATGTTGACTATACATAGTGCAAATGAACGTATAACACATTTCAAGGTTTATTGCTAATCCATTCACAAACCCACATGCCTCTTCCACGGAATGGCTCAAGGACAGAGAGTCCTTACTTGTTGTCCTTGCTGTCTGTCTTAAATCCTCCTCCTCATTCTGTATTCATATGATCCTCTGACAAGCTCATTTGGATTGTCAAATGGCAAAACAAAAAAGTACAGTTTTAGGGTTATTCATGAGCCTGAATGACTTCTCAGAGAGGAAAAGCCACTAAATTTCACGCAAGGGATGAAGTAAAAAAACCTTTAGCAGTAGCAGTTAAATAATTTGATCTAACAAGTGCTTTTATTAAAACTAAAACTAAAATAAAATCACAGTTGTCTTCAAGCCAACCAACAAATGATCAGAAAGACCTTCTCCATGAACTTGTCTCTTGGAGCCTTTCTATTATGTTCCCCAACACCATCCCTAGAGCTGCTCTAAGCCAGGCAGATAATGTCACACTAACTTTCTATAACCACAGCACTAGAACCCAAGTATTCTTACTGCATATTTTGGTATAGTTTTATCTTAACGGGGTCAATTACTCTGAAAATCCTATTTAGCATCACATGACAATGTATTCATAGGATCCTCTCTCTTCCAGAGTATAGGGCTTTCCTCTGTAGCAGGTGAAATCAAAGTCAACCTCACTGCGAAGCTACTATTATACTGCACAATTTTCATAAGGCGACTAGAGAGTATTTCAAGCTATGGGTTCCAAATTTAATCACAATTAATTTTACAAAATAATTTGGATATTTTATTCAGAGTCCAAGACTGGCACCCAATGTGTGTATAAAACAGGGCAGCTGCCCTTGAGGGAATGCAGCCTATAGAGACAATAGGTTTTTGGAAGAACTGGTAGAACAACATCACTGATCAGAGAAAGGCACTGAGCAGACTCACACTATATAACCAATGGTTCTG